CTAATAGAATAGTGAAATCATTTGGAACTTGGATTTAATGTACTGGTGGAATAGTGAAATCATTAGAATCTGGTATTCAATGTACCGATGGAATAGTGAAATCATTAGGAACTGGGATTTAATGTACTGGTGGAATAGTGAAATCATTAGGAATAGAGATTCAATGTACTGATGGAATAGTGAAATCATTAGGAACTGGGATTTAATGTACTGGTGGAATAGTAAAATCATTAAAATCTAGTATTCCATGTAACGATGGAATAGTGAAATCATTAGAACTGGGATTTAATGTACAAGTGGAATAGTACAATCATTAGGAATAGTGAAATAATTAGAATCTGGTATTCAATGTACCGATGGAATAGTGAAATCATTAGGAACTGGGATTTAATGTACTGGTGGAATAGTGAAATCATTAAAATCTAGTATTCAATGTATCGATGGAATAGTGAAATCATTAGGAACTGGGATTCAATGTACAGATGGAATAGTGAAATTATTAAAATCTAGTATACAATGTTTAAAATCTATGTGGGTCACACTGCGGGTAAATAATTGACTACAAGGAAACGCGTTGTTATATAGTCTTTTCTGGAAAGTAAAAAGGATCATCAGATCAATGTAGCAGCATGTAAATATGTTTACTATCCCACAATGCTCGGTGACAGACTCACCATGAAGTAGTGGAATAGTACTATCACAAGGAACTATGATGCAACGTACAGATGGAATAGTTACATTATTAGAATCTATTATTCAATGCACCGATGGAATAGTGAAATAATTCGGAACTGGGATTTAATGTACAGGTGGAATAGTGAAATTATTAGGATCTATGATTCAATGATTCAATGTCCAGATGGAATCGTACAATCATTAGGAACCGGGATTCAATGTACTGATGGAATAGTACAATCATTAGGAACCGGGATTTAAAGTACAGGTGGAATTGTGAAATCTTAGGAACTCGGATTTAATGTACTGGTAGAATACTGCACTCATTAGGAACTTGGATTCAATGTACATATGGAATAGTGAAATCATTAGGAACCTAGATCCAATGTACATATGGAATAGTGAAATTATTGGGAACAGATATTCAATGCACAGGT